GGAAGGGTGGCAGCTGTTCCAGGAAGCATGTGTTCATGAATTTGGTAAAGTAGAGCCTGAGTAAGCAAGCTAAAGCAGGCAAGAAATCTTTAGCAGAGGAGAGTATTATTAGTCTTTTAAGGAAGCTATTTCATGAACATTGTGATAAGGCTGGAATGTCATGGTTCTTCTGATTCGGATGACAAAAATCACTACATATTCAGACAGTAAATTGACTCAAGCCCTAGTCCAGCAAAGGTTTTCTGATGTAATTTGCCCCACTGGTAATCAATGACATATTTGCATAAACTGTTTTTATTACTTCCCACTAGCAACACCAGAAATTTTCAAACAAGCTCTGGGTCCAAAGACTGGGTCACTGCAAAACAAGCAGAACTCACAGATACATGCTATATGACCCAGCACCAAGATTATGGATTGGGTGGACCTAAGTAAATAATCCTTTTGGATTGGAAGCCTATCTGAAACAATGCTATTTCAGATTAAGGAGATTCAGTTTGGTGAGACCAGAGTTTATGCTGGATGAATGTTACGTCTTTTCAGAGACTATAAAAAACAACATAGCATCATGACAAAGAATATATGCAGCCTTAGGTCATTAGCAAGCATGCAAATATACCCAATGTAAGTCACATTCTATCTATTTGACCATATCATGTATGACTGACTTAAATACTAGTCCCTAAGACTGATTTCTACACAGAGAACCATCAACCTGCTTCAGGCAAGGGGAGCAAAATATACTTCAAAAGGAATGGAAAACCCTTGTTCATCTTGGAGATCCTGTTCCTGCACGTACTTCCTGTGCTCCAGACTCTCACACAAGCCCACTGCTGCTGTGAGTGAAACATGCTTCCATAGTAGGGGATAAAAAGAGAGGCAGTTTTAACAGTAGCAGAAGGAGCTGTATATGGAAACGCATTGATATACATAACACATAATATCAATATGTATTAGCTACTAATATATTAAGCTTGGTATGACTTTTGTGGTAGTTCAAAGCAGACATACTCCTGAAACACTAACAACTTGTGTTAAGATGATACAGTCATTTTCTGTTTGCAGGACCTAAATATATACAGTATCTGAACAAGAATAGCTCAAGTTTCACTAATTTTGCACAGATTATTATGCCTGGCAGGTTCTTGAGATGTTGAAGCCTTCTCCCCTTGCCTGAGAAACTCCAGATCATTAGTAAAGAGAATATGCATGAATCACAGGTGGGAGAGTACAGTGTAGAGTCAAACCTTTTCAAGTATTTGAATGTGGTCAGAGGACACGGCAGCAAGGGGAGTAGTTATTCAGAGAAGTGAGACAGCAGATGTCCACCAAAACAACCAGAGTAATTCTCAGGGGCAATTGTATTTTATGCTGAGCTGTAAACATCAGTCATGTGGGTATTTCCACGCACCCACACTTTGATCCTGACCCCGTACACTCTTAGATGCAAGCTGAACTTTCTGATGGGACCACTCATGAATTCAGCTCAGCAAATCCCTACGCGTTTGCAGGATTAGTCTCTGTATCTGAACTAGACTCACCAAGTCTGTTTTGTTGATATTGTCAGTGCTGATAGCTGATACTCTTTTACCTCCATTAAAAAAGTCCTCCTCTGTCACAGTGCCTGTAATCTGCTGGTCAGGTGGTTTTTAGATATGTCATACCTATAAGCAAACCTATTAATGAAAAAGTATTACTGCCCTGGCTATTCACACTGAACATTAAAAATGCAGAGAAGAACAATGAACAGTAAAAATCAGAAGACCTGAGAATTTATTTCAGCTTTTTTATTCAAACCCTCGGGTATAAGACCTTGTCATTCCTAACTTAAAAGAGAAGACCAAAGTAAAAACCTGTCTATCAGATGTAGTGGTGAGAAGTGATTATACCACAAATATATTAATGGAAAACATTATGTGCAAGTTGTTTAGAGTATCTATACAAATGTTCTGCAGCCAGGCCTGGACAACTTAGGAAAGAAGAGAAAACCACACAAGTACCCCTTCTGCATTTTTAAAAGTAGTTTCCTCTCTTTATTCAGGAACATCCTGTGAGCTGCTCCCCTGTATAATGGCATTTTCAAGTAGAGAGAGGGGCTGGCAAAACTGTGCTTACTGTGGGCTAGATGTTTAGCTATAGAGCAGAAATATGCCCATTCAGAGAACGGTAAGGCTGCCCTGATCATTCCCTCAGAGTAAAGGAAAAGGATTTAACAGGAAACTTAGAAGGCTGTCAGTGATATGAATATGCACTGAGCTTCTGCAGAGGGACAGCAACGGTCATGCTGTCACTGAGTCTCCTCTATTATGTAACAAAAAAGATTCCAGGATGAACAATTTCTGTTAAGTATTGGACTTTCTGGAGATGCATCAACAGGAAATGCAAGGGCTGAGCACTTGCCCAAACAAAGCATGCTGCAATTTATGTACTTCGTACCTATGCAGATCTGCCTTGACTTACACGAACACAGTGGGGGGGTATATTCAAAAAGCTGAGCACATGTTTTGGTGAGATCAGAATATTATAAAATAGTATAAAAGAGTGGTGGTAGAGTGGCGGTGTCTTCAATGTGTGCCACAGTGGTGCACCATGGCTGGTGCTGCAGTAACAGATGTTGCTGTTGGAATTCATCAGAAAAGCCATAGTGAGGAGAGCCTGAAAACTGCAATACTCTCGTTTCTCGAAGTACACTGTCTGTGTTTAACAGTAAGTATCCCTACCAAAATGGGCTAGTGATAAGGACTGAAACAACTGCACCCTTGAGAATCTTGTTATGTTTATCAAGTTTTCTTTATTTTGTGGACAGAGAATTTAAAAGTTTAGTAATGAGCCTTGAATTTCATTCAAAATAAGTTACATTAATGATAGCTGGAAGCTGTAAATAGAGCAGGGTTGTTTACCTTAAATTTTGCAGATCCAAGTGATGAGTTATTCTTCTTTACTGTAAATGATCTTAATAATCAATAGTATAGAGGCACAAAGCTGAGCTCTCCCACCACATTACTTTGAGACAATTCATGATCACTGTAATGTGTTTTCAGACATTATTGCCTGAAGGCAAGCTCAGCAGTGCAGTTATCTGATATTTACTATGCAATCATCACCAATTCCCTTTTATACTAAACTTAATTCCCAAGGATGCCTGAGAATAAAATCACTTACACAAGAGGCACATATAGCAGGCTCATAATCCATCTGAAGCAGAACCATGTGGCTTTACATCAGTCTTCTGCACCAATCCTGGCACAGTGGTAGTGCCAGAGATAAAGAAGAATGGTCTGAGCTCCTATCTATTTTCTGGTGGATTTGGGGTTTAACTGAGGTTCAAAGCATGGCCCTTCAACAGTCCTTTTCATCTAACTGGGCAGTTGCTTAATGGAGAATATTCATCACAAACATAAATTATAATGCCTGGAAACAAGAACACCGTGACATAGGCTTACCCAAAATGGAAGAATTCCTACAATTCTGAAGAAAAAGTTAGTCTGGGATCAGAATAAAAAAAGTGAGAGCTAATCTCCCTGCGCCACATGGGATGGAGACATGGAGAGGCCTGAGGGGCCTCATTGCAGCCAAGGTTTCCAGGGGGACCAGGGTCTCCTGAGTGCAAAGCCAGGCACCTCAGGGCCCCGTAGGCCTGCTGCATTCATGGCGCGGCATGCCATCTGTGTGGGAGGGCTGCAGTGTAACCGCAGTCTGATAGTACTTGAGCTCTGGGTTCAAAGGCAGTCTACCCTTGGAGATGTGAACAGGCAGGAAGCCAGGCAGACTTCTGGTTTTGTGAACAATTGACACTGATTGACATTTTCCTATAAAATTTCCAGTTTAAAAAGCCATAATCTATGGTTTAAAAGAAAAACAAAAGTCTTCATGGAGAAATAAAGTTTCTCTTTCTTACATGAGAAGTCTTTGAATGAGGATTATTCTCCTCATCTTTAAAGGAGGGACCACATGATTCACTAAGCCTGCCAGTGTTTACCCTTAGTCCTGTTGTGAAATTCAGGCTTTTTGACCTGATATACACCTTCCTCAACAGACCCTACTGGTCTCTACCTCTTCAACCTTCCCCAAAGCACCTGGCATCCTTCAGTCTCATCACATATCAAGCTCCATCACCCATTCATTTCTTCCAATTCCTCCTAAGTCTTTCTCAAAAACAAACAAAAAACCCCCTAATTCATCTCTACATAAACAATTGATCAAAAGTACATTTATAAATATCCTATACTCCAATTCTTGTGTTTTAAAGCAAAACTTCAGACTATAACAGTCAAAAATTATCAGATGGGGAAATCAATCATTCATGAAGCAAAATCATCAAATATACAGATATTGAAAAAGAAATTGAATTATGAACACGGAGATATTTAGGAGACTCACTCCCTGTTTTTAGGGAGGATTTTCAATCTTTACAGTCTAATTACACATTATTATTCAGAATGACTCAAATGACTTAATAGTGCAACTTCACTGTCTTCTTGTATTTCTCTGCTTCTACCTTTTTCTTTAAAAAAAAAAAAAAAATCTTAATTCACCCCCAAAAAGTAACCAGTCACAAGCAACTTGTTTCAGATCAATCACACTGTTTTGAGGGGGTGCCTCTGTCAGTTCCTTACATGAGTACTTTTAAGCCAAAGATGGAAATTGCTCTATATGCAAGTTGCATCATTATCTATTGACTAGCTCTACAAAGGAAAATACGTTCATCATAAACAACCTATTCACTCCATCATCTAAGTAAATAAGCACCATTTTCCCTCCCCAGTTAGCATGAGGACAAAACACCGTACCTTTCTTGTTCCCACAAGAGCAAAACCAACGCTATTGTTAATCAGAAGTCAGAAAAATATAGGCATTCTGAGCATGAATGACTGCTTATCAATGAAGTGACAAAAATACGCCTCACCCTTAAGTGTTTTTACGAAAGGTCCAGGATGAAAATAGGAAAGCAGTGGCAGCTTAGAAAAAAAAACCCAACCAAAACAAGGAAAATCACTTACTGTACTTGGTTCTGCAGAGGTATTCAACACAAACATCACCCTTCCTTGTCCAGCTGCCAAGTGCTAAAGCATGAAATGAGCAGCTGTTTCCTTCAAGCTGGGGCTGTGTGTCTTAACTAGTCACATGCCCCTCCTGATAAATCTCACTGCTGTGCCAGGAGGTCAGAATCTGAAGATCATTATTCCCCTTATTAGAAAATCCTTTTCATAACAGCAACCTTTGCTGAAACATTTGACTGGAATGTGGTGCTATGTGCTCCATAGCACTTTTTTTATTATTTATTTTTTCTAAATGACTAACACCAAACAGTAGATAAGCCTTAATCGACAGTAGGGGCAGCACAAATGGAAAGTTACACACATCCCTTGTTGATCGCTTCAGGTTTGTTTTTGATTTCACAATTTGCTGTGTTTAAATTTAGGAATTTAAACCATCAGGAACAGGACAATTTAAAGACAGTATGAATGTCACAGCGTTTTAAGACCAGGCTTCTCCACAGATGATGCAAAATATGTGAACAATCCCACTTCTGGGGATTAGTTGTACTTAAGGGGCAACATCATTACCTTTCATGTTCGGATAGTAGAGTGATGAGTGCCTTATTAATACTGGAGATCATTTTAATTTTGGTATCTTGCATTTTTACAGCATGGATTACAGGCTGCATTGTGCCAGACATTGTCTAGTCAGACTGTGATAGCCCTTTTAAGGTGGGGACTATCAGTCTAAACAGAGAGAGCAAAATGGGAAACAAAAGCGTCCTTATCCCCATGTCCCCAGATGTAGGACAAATGAAGGAGAAACACTGAAGTCAAGAAAGGAACAGATTCTGATGGAATTTTCCAGGGTGATATGTAGCCACATGCTACTGAAATTCAGTTGAGACTATGCCTAATTCCCTTTAGCTTGGTCACATATTAAAAGATATTTTGATATTTAAGGACAGAGGCATACTGTCAATAGGATTTTGAGGGTGAGATGTAAAACATATTTTTTATAATGCTTAATTCCCATCCCACATATGGTATAAAATGTGCCGAAACTCCAGCAGTACTTTAAACTGAGAAGACTGACAGGACACAGGAAGCTGCCATACCTCAGTAGAGGATGTGGTAATGGTATTTTTTTGTTTGGTAAGCAATCCAGATCTCACAATATTACAGAGTCTCACTGGATTATAAATGGCATTATGGGGCATTTTTCTGACATACAACCTGCACTAATAGTACTGCAACTGAGATTCGAACAAATTCAAGGAATTCCTCAGAGGCAGATAGGCGCCTGTTGTTAAAATTATTAAATTATAATAGCATATCTAGCTGGCACGTTCATCAGAAACCGATGAAAGCCTGCAAAACACTGAAGATGAGGGCTGCAGCAAAAACGATTAACTCCAATTGCTTCCTTTGACCGTACCCAGCTCTGCATATTACATAAAATCCCACATGGTTATGAAACCACGCAGCCATCAGCACTGCCAGCACCGCCTGGAGCGGGGAAGAAGCCCTCGTGCTAACTACCCGTGCCTTCGCGGGTCTCTCCCTTTCTCGGTATTTGGGCTTCCTTGACAAGTTTCCATGGAAAAAACCCTTCCTTGTTACACGGACTCTCACAGCCCAGCCTGGCCTGGGCGTACCCAGCCCGTCAGAGGACCTCGTCGGCAGTCTGGGCCGCGAAGGTGCCCCACGTATCCGTGGCCATAGACCAGGCCTCCCACCGGCACCCCGGACCCACCACCTTTCCCGGGTGACGTTCGGTGCCTTATTTGTCCTCCTTTGCCTCGACGCCTCACAGCGGGACCCTCAGCACTTCCAAGAGACATCGTCCTTTCTGCCAAGCATTTCAAAGGGCAGAAGTTATGTTATGGGCGTATCCCAGGGCCCGAGTTCCCGGCTGAGGGCCTGCGTTGATGGGCACCCGGCGCCAGCTGGGCCAGGGCCGGCGGTGAGGCGCTGCGGGGAGGCCCGACAGCAGCCCCCAGCGGCCTGA